TCCTTCCCGACCAGGACCCAGTGAACATTTGTTTGGTTTTTGCTACTTCCTGAGGAGTGGGGAGTTCATTGAAAATATTTTTGATAAATGCATTGTGCAGAGCGTTTAAGGTACATGTAGTATTTTATATTTGTTTTTTAAACAATGCTATATTAAAATGGCAGTTGTATCAGATTTCAAGTTATGTCTACAAAATGCGAGTTTTTCTGTCTTGCTACAAGAAAAACATGAAACTCACCTGTCGCAATAGTCCCTTGGCTACTACATTTACCAAGCACCGCCATCAAAATGAGAACTACCGGTACATAGGTCTGCATAGTTCCTGTAATGGTTATAATCAGTTGTTACTGTCAGAATGAAAGTGTTGTCTGTCTAGACCCAGGCGTGCTCCGTAGATATATACAGGGTATATATACACACACGCACACCCACAGAAGGTGTATCTGGTAAAATGTGATTGGTGATTTGGGTCTTAGTATTTGATTTAGATCATTAGAATGATAGTTTGACAGATGACGTTTTGCGGTTATATTTATTTGAATACGACGTACGTTCAACAGGAAGGGAAACTTGTTTACAGTTAAAGAAAAAGAAACATTGTAAGATGGTCATACAGCGGGAAGTAGAAAATATTATTTCGGTAAGTAAAAAACAACAAACTATTCACCATGACCCCGACGTATTAAAAATAATATTATGATGTACATGAAAAAATTCCCTTACGCACAGACAAAGTATAAGACTGTCAGTTTTATTGTCCCATATTCATACTAATTGGACATAATGGATATGCATACGCCAACGGGGAACGTGGACAAAATTTTTCATTTTCAAATGTCCATTCAGAGATTTCACTGGATTTTCAATCTTATTTTAAAAGACTTTCACCGTCTTCCAGTAAGGTAGCGATTTTTTTTTAAAAATATGTATCATTACCTTGCCTGCCCGCTACCATTTACAAATAAATATTGTGAGCTAGTTTATGTTACAATACAACAAGTCAATATTTTGACTGGGGCACATGACATATAGACAGATTGGATTGATGAATTACAAAATGTGTGTTTATTGTATGTTTACTGAGCTTCAATTTTTTCTTGGGTACAATTAACGAATGGTTCTTCTGCAATTTGTGTAACAACATAGAACTGATTATTTTTGTGAAAGAACCGTTTTGTGGTAAGGACTGGGGACGTAAAAACTGCTGCTTGCCAATAGTCTTAGAACTGACGATAATTGACAGCCAGCAATAGTTTCTGTCCTTGCAACTTTTTACACCACAGACCAAACTGGTTCTTTCTTGTTGCAAAAGATGATATCATCAGATGGCGTGGGATTATCTGCATGCACAGCTGTGTAGTTTTAAAAATGTAGTTATCTTTTCTTTAAATCTATTTTTAATTTAGTAATGTACATGTAGTGTATACAAACATCTAGTAAAAAGAAGGAAAAAACGCCCAAAGATTGAGATTCTATGGAACCCCTACATCAATAAAGTGTATACAGACTGACATTTAATAAAAAAGAATAAAAAAAATAATCAAATAAATATATCTTACGGATATAAATGTATATAAAAAGACATTATTCTCGATATGTAGGTCTAGAAGATGCAAGAGAGAGACTGGCAAAAGTGAGTGGGGGGGGGGGGGGATTCACTCTCACCCAATTGAGAGAGAACACGTACATCTAAAGCAATG